CTATTATTTGATTTTTTTTTTAATTATTGGAAAAGAAAAAGAGAGAAGCACTGTTAACAGGGTCTCATGCTGTGATCTCTTCCAGCCAGCCAAGATTATGGGTGCCACATCCAACATGTATAGGTTGATGGGGAAACTAAACCTGGTGATCTTCCATACATATCGAGCATTGCTTGCACAGCATGTTACTCCTGTACCACTGAGCTGGTTTTTATTTGAGTTTTTAAAGTTTATTTCTTCTGGGACCAGCAGGTGGCAAGATGGTTAAGGCACTGGACTCCCACATGGCTGACTGCAGTTCAAGTCCTGGACCTGGTAGCTTGCCTTCTCACTTTCTCTCTTTCTTTCTCTCTGATGACTGTACATGCCCTATAGCAAATTTTTAAAATAATAACAATAAATAAAATTAAATAAAAAATTCTTTTTTAAAAAGTTTATTTCTTCCATGCATGAGTGACAGAGAGTTACTTCTACAGGGTCTTGACAACGTGATCCAGATGCATACCCAGTACACCCAGGGAGGTCTCTACATGCAAACTCAGAAAATTCCTATATAGGTCATCCTTGCAGACCATGTGTTTTACTGCTGTGCTACCATCTGGTCATTGACTGGATTTTTTTTTAATTGATTGGATTTTAATAAGGCTTAGGTCTATGTCTTTTGAGGACCATAGGCCCCTCTGGCAGTCTGGTGAAGCCCATGGATCCCATCTCTTGAAGATTTTTAAAATAGGGCAACACTAATTTAGAAAAAGGTCTATTTCAGCTAATGTCAACAATCTGCTAGATGTGTAAACATTAGCTTGACATGTTTATTATTAAAAGTGAACCAATGATTGAATGTATAAAAGAAAATGAAATAAAAAAAGAAAAAAAGTGAACCAAACATTAAGTTGTAAATATATATTTACTTCTGTAGTTGGAGCACTACCAATTGTGACTTAGCACATTTAAATTTGCACACATGAAATAAGAATATAGCAGAACATTTTCTAATGCACAAAATAAAATACATGAACTTAAAATGGAAATTCATTATATTAAAATACAGTTATTGAGACCAGCAGATGGTGTAATGAGTATATCACTGAACTCTCACATAGACAATCACAGTGCTCGTCCTGGACCCAGAGACTTAAAACTCACGCTGGGGGACCAGTCCAGTTAAGGGCACTGGACTCCCACATGGCCAACCGTGGTTCAAGGCCCAGACTTAGCAGATTGCTTTCTCTCTCTCTCTGTCTCTCTCTCTCACTTTGTCACTCTCTGGTCAAAATCAAATCAATCAATCAATAAAGTTAAATAAAATAATTCAAAAAAAACAAAAAAAACCACTCACTGTGTTTGTATGCCCAAAATCTGAAGAGGAGAATGGAGGAGAGAGGATTGCGGTATGGTCATCCCCCCAGGGGGTGATTTCTTGCTTTCTGTCTCTCTGTCTCTCTCTGTTTCTCTGACAAGTGCACACACCCTATAGCAAAAATCTCTCTCTCAAAGAAAAAAATACAACTATCAAAATATTACCAAAAACTGTGAAATATTAGCATATATGCATCATAATTTATGTATTAAATAGTCAGATCTAATGGCAGTTCCCATAACTATTTGAATTTTGAAGTAGTCATGAGAATAAATCAATTTTCAAGATGTCTGTAACAACTATAATACGAAATGCAAATCTCTGTGATGTCTATTATTGACAAAGCCACAGATTTTGCTAACATTTCTGTGGTTTATTATTTATGTTCATCATTGAAAGAAATGCTATATTTCAGTTAGGGATTAGTGAAGATAAAGAGGTAATTGTTTTTCACCGGAATTCAAAGTCCCCTGTGCCTGAGATTTCTTGGTCTATAGGTTCCTGGTTAGAATTTCTGTTATAAGGGGTCATATAGACTCCCATGGACTGGAACCAGATGTCTCCTGCCTGTCCCACCCTCCAGGATGACATTATTTCTCCTCAAGTTTCCAAGCTTACCCTCACAATTGACTGCTCACAAAGCCTTGTTTTTGGCTGGCAATATTTTGGAGCTGTCAGCTCATCTGGCCAGAACTCATGACTACATGCCCTGAGTCCACTGAACAACAACTGGTATTTTCTCAAAGTTATGTCTAAAGTCACTTAATCGGCCCTCAGATTTTCCAGAATTCTCTCACTATAATCTTACACTAGAAAATCACCTTACAACTACACGGTAACACCAACCCCGCAAAACATCACTACTTTGCCCTGTCTCCAAATATGACTCTTCAGTTAGTTCATAGAGGACAATTTCTGAGAAGGCTAGAGTGGTCTTTTAAAAGCGTTTTTTTCTTTATTCATGATAGAGCACATGAGAGAGAGATAGAGAGAGAGAGTGAGAGAGAAATAGAAAGAAACACTCTCCACAGGGTCTGGTTACACAACTCCCCCCACCCCTGCTGGCCCCATCCTCTCATCCTCCAGCCTATCAGATCCTAGGCACTCGCATATGTGCCCAGGATATTTCAGGTAGACCAGGCTGGGTATTCAAAAGATGGTCAACATGTATGATCTGGCTTCTCTTGAGCAGCATATTACCACTATGGCATGGAGCTGGCCCTGGGGTGGTCTTTATACCAGAACAGCACAGCCTCACTCCTGGCCTTGTGCTAGCCCAGTCCTTCCCAAAGGGTGGGAACCAACAAGATGATTTTTTTTGATGAGCCCTCCTCATCTGGGGATGCCTGGCCCGTTTCTTGATCTATTCCCATGTGCTCTCCAGTCCTTGTGGTTCACTCACCTAAAATTATATAGGTTGCAATCCACTGCAAAACAGAGAGAGTTTGGAGGCCCTCCTGAAGGTCTAGTCGGGAGAAGAAGGCCATCGTCATGGTGTTGTTCTGTTGTGGCAAGAAACCCAAACAGAAGGTCAAAACCTCTTAAGCTGAGTTGATCATAGATGCTTTGCTATAATCTTTTATCACTGAGTCTGTTAAGCTGCTAGGATTTTGTCAGGCTTGACCAACCTTTCTTCTAGTTTTCCCTACTTGCTGCCCCGCCCCAACTTCTTACATATGTATCAGGTTGCACACAGATCAGACTGTCCAATCTCCTCAATCTTTTCGTCATGTGTACTCAGTCGCAATGAAGCAGAAATGACCATGGAGTGAGTAACTGTGATTGGAGATGTCTTTGATAAATTAGTGCAGGAAAAGAGATTAGCTT